TGAAACACTTCCCACATGCAGTGCAGTGATACAGTTTCTCTCCAGTGTGGATCCTCTCATGTGTTTTCAGATGTGATGAATGATTGAATCTCTTGCCACAGTGTGAACACTTGTAAGATTTCTCTCCAGTGTGAATCCTCTCGTGCAGTTTTAAACGGTTTGCTGTAGTAAAAGTCTTTTCACACTCAAAGCACATGTACTCTCTCACAGCAGCATGTATTTCTGATGTACTTTCAAATATTGTAAACATGACAAACTCTTTCCACACAAATAACATGAATGTGGCTTCTCCGTTTTATGAACTCTCAGGTGTTTCTTCAGGTTTGAAGCTCTCAAAAATGTTTTGCTGCACTGATCACAACTGTATGGTTTCTCTCCCGTGTGGATGTTCATGTGTAATTTAAGAGTTGATAATTGTGTGAAGCTCTTCCCGCACTGATTACAAGTGTATGGTTTCTCTCCAGTATGAACTCTCATGTGAAGATAAAGATAATGTTTGTTTGTCAAACTCTTTCCACACTGAGAGCAGGTGAAAGATTTCTTGGCTCTTCTTTTCTTTAAATCCTGTTTGGTTTCAGTGCAACTCAAAGGTTTTTCTCTACTTTTGACATGATTTATCTCCTTACCTTCACTCAATTCTTCATTCTCCTCATTTTCTTCATTTAACTCTGAAATAAAAGTAAAAATGGTTTATTTTCAGTTAGTCATAAAAACAGAGAAACGTGAAAGGAGACAAAAATTAACCCTGATGTAAACATATATATATTTGATGCATTTTTATAAATTATGTCTCTCTGAAATTGTAACTATTTGTAATTATTATAGACACAAATCACATGTTTCTACAGGGAGAACTAGTAAATATGTTTGATCAACAACAAAATTATCTAACATACATTAATTTTGTTTAAAAAAGCACCCATATCATAGAAAGTGTATTTTATTATATGATGCTTCCTCTAGATTATTCAACAGCTCTATAGATTTTTCCTGCTACAACAAATCTAATACTGTTTGAAGCTTTATAACATTCAGCCTCATTAATGAAGAATAAACACCAACCTGTTAGTTCTTCAGTATCTT